TTCAATCACTGGACGCGTGAACTTGCCTCAAATGAAATTTACGCTATAAATAAGTTGCTGGCTACCAGGAACTGCAATCCCCCCCTCCGCCTTTGCCAGAGCCTACCCATAATACGAAATGTGCCCCTCTCTCTCTCTCTCTCTCACTCTTTCTTCTCTCCCTCTATCTGCAATCCCTTCTCAGTTGTTGCTCTGGCGAAAACAAAAGTTTTCTTTATATATACCCTGTAAGTGTTTATCAATGGGATGAGCACGACTAAAGCTTAACCAAACATATTTCTCAGCAGCATCTATCTACTGATCCACCTGATAGACTATGTTATACCCTATACCAGGTGTTATACTCTAGCTACGTCGGAGCTGTAAATCATCTACAATTATTATTTTGAGCTATGAATATACAGGGTATCTCTGACTTGATTTTAATATTTTGAGCTGCCTATGGTCGTTTCTATTCAATTGAGTATACACATACGCAATTGTCTTCAATATCCAATTGCAAATTTGATGGACTACTAGATACTCCTTGATTTTCCTTAATGGTAAACTAACAGCTGGAATGCCCTATATGCCCAAGTTAGAGGACAACCGCCAGTCGTAGACTGCTCTTACAGTCAATAAGCTTTCGATTACTTATTGCCAGAGTTGCCACTCGGCTGGCAGAGTGGGAGAAGCGAACAAAGGGGACAACTCTAGCGCTGCCCATGGTAACCCTGGCGGCAGTTGGCAATAAATTGAATATTTGATTAGATGCTGGCGCTCGAATAAGCAATTCCCCGAGGCAGCCCAGAGAGAGTTGCCAGTTCGTTGCAATCGAGGAGCGACGCCGGGGCGGGGTGCATGATTGAAAAAGGGTGGCAACATGATGCGCCAATGATTGCAATTGCCAAGAAGTTCATGTCGCGCTCGCTGCCTGCTGCTTGCTGCAGATGCAAATGCACATGCAAATCCAGTTTCACAACTCGCTAGCACAGTCTAAGAGAGAGAGAGAGAGAGAGAGAGAGAGAGGGGGGGAGATGGGGAGAGAGACGCTTTGTTGTGTGAATTTTTTGTGGCCTAGATTGAAGCTGTTGTCTGCTGCCGTTGCTGACTCCTTGATAGCGGCAAATCTATTTGGATTAGCATCACAGCTCGGATCCATTTGTAATTCGCAGCTGGTGTAAGCGTTTGATGTGTGCAGCGCTGCAAGTTGAAGGCAGAATTGGTCAGCAAATTGAAAGGAGTCTAGGAGTTTAGTGTGAGCTGAGCAAGCTAAAGGCGAGAAATGTGCCTCATTCCCTCTCTCTCTTCCTGTCTATTTATCTTTTTTCTCTCTCTCTCTTCCTGTCTATTTATCTTATCTCTCTCTCTCTCTCTCTCTCTCTCTCTCACTCTCTCTCTCACTCTCTCTCTCTCTCACTCTCACTCCCCCTCTTTCTCTCTCTGGCCGCCCTAATTCTTTGTATTAGTTAACCGAGTATTCAATTCGTTTTTCCGCTCATTAGCTCACAAATAACGTATCGAATTTCAGAGCTCGACTCGATTGCCTTGCAATAATTTTGCGTGCAATGAATTTGGAATACCCCGTTGCCCCTTCCACTGCGGCAATATATACGTATATTGCATTACAAATTGGTCAAGCGCAACTGGCGAGCAGAAGAAGCAAAAGAAGAAGAAGAAGGAGAAGATGGAGAAGAGGGGGCATCAAATGTAACATGAAACAATTTGCAAATAGGCTTTTAGCTTACAGTTATGAGTTTCTCCACCTCTCCGGCTATCTCTCTCTCTCTCTCTGTCTCCCTTTTATTTTCATTCCGGTTTTCAGTTACGGCAGGGGATGGGACGGGCTGGTTGGGGGAGGTCAGCTTTCGGCTGTTTTATAAAAAGCAATAACCATATTCTACGCATTGTTAAATATTTATGTTGGACAGCCATAAAAAAGTATTAAAACAAACGAAAAACGAAAAACGAAAAACCAAATACGAAAACCAAGCGCCAAAGGAGAAAAATTGTGAAAAAGAAATTCGCTTCATTTGGCAACAAATTTGTTGTGACGGCTCCGGTCAATGGGAAATTGCATTGTTTTTGTTCACTTTGTTGTTGTTGTTGTTGCTGCTGCTGTTCGCGCACATTTTTTGACGGTTCAACAACTCTTGACACAGCGCAAAAAGCGAGAGCGAGCGAGACAGACAGATAGACACTTAAAAAGCAATTGCCTATTGCCAATTGGCAAAAAAAAAAAACAAAAAAAAAAAGAAGAAGAAAAGAAAAACGAAACCCAAAACGAAGAAAACAACAGCAACAACAGCAACAACAACTGACAAATGCAAATAAAAATAGAAGTACCTAAAAAATGGCCAAAGAGACAAAGGCAAAACCAAAACCCAAAACCAAAGCAATTAAATTTGTTCAAATCGATTTAAGCTGACAATAGACAGCAGCAGCGCATACCCTATTCGCAGCAATCGGAGGCGTATGGGCGTGACACACTCAGCAATACACAGCAATTACAACCGCAAATGGCAATAAAATGACAGAGTAAAATGTAACAACCGTTACAACTGTCGCAAGTGGCGCTGCGCGAGCGAGAGGGAGAGAGTGAACTGTGTGAGCACATGGTAGCAACGGGATCGAGTCGAGTGACTGGCCGCTAGAGGGCGCCACAAACAATACACAAATTGGGACATTAGCAACTGTCTCAAACCCAAAAACCGTTATCGCAAATTGTCGCTACAATTAAGAGGGGGCCGACGACGGTAGAGCACAAATTCCCAGATATCAACTGATGCGGGCAACGAGCGACACAGAGGGGGAGCGAGGAGAGTGTGTGCAAGGTGCGGCTTTAGTGTAGCCTAGCCAGATAATATTTGAAGCCATTTTAAAAGTATACGAAAAACAAAAAAAAAACAAAAAAACAAAAAAAAATGGCACTCGAATTAAGTAAATATTTAAAGATGGCCGCAGAGAGAGGAGAAGGGGATGCGCTCTCTCTCGCTTGCCATCTCGCTCACTCGCAGAATGCTTTGAGATATCATTTGATTGTTTTTGCCACGCAGCAGCTGAGCCCGAGGCACGAGGCGGGGATTGGCGGGAATTGGCGGAGCGCTGTAAGCAATGCAAATGCCATAATAAAACGCGAAAGAGCAAAGGAGCACAAGAGAAGGAGATGAAACATTTAAAGCGTAAACCCATTGAGCAAATATTTAACAAAGCGCAAAATTGCAGAATTCCTTTTTTCCCTTTTATTTGCATATTTAATTTGTTTTGAGGTTTTTGCGCTGGACTCTTGCGCTCTCCCTCTCTCCCTCTCCCTCACTCTCTGAGTGCAGCATCAATGCACACATGCTCGAAGCAGCTGCAAAGGCTGAGGAGAGCTGAGAGCAAGCGGCATGAGTGAGCGAGATGGACAGCATATGAAGTACCAAACATTTGCATTTGCATTTGTTGTTGTTGTTGTTGTTGCATTTGTGGCCATTGTTGTTGCTGCTGCTGCTGCTGCTGCTGCTGCTGCTGCTGCTGCTGCTGCTGCGTTTGCTTTTAGTTATTAAAAATAGTTCATACATAATTTGCAACCTGGTTTCATACTTGGCTCCACTGTTTAATTAATACAAAAACTAAGACGGCGCAGCAGAATGGAGCGAGGGAGGAACTGCAACAGTTCGCAGTTTGCTTTGTTGTCTTGTTCACACTTTGACCTCAACCAAACGGCGACAGCAGCAGCCACAAAAAAACCAAACAAGAAACATAAACAAAGAAAAAACTATTAAGCATGGGACGTGGGCCACGTCAGCCGTCCGCCCACTCAATTTGAAGGTTAAACTTCGCCATGTGCCGCCCATTGCCGCCCAGCTGGTGGGCGTGGCCGGCACATTTAGGCAATCCGCAAAGTGTCACACTCTAACGGCATTTTCATTAATCAAGTTGGTCCAACGCCCTCCGCCCCCCGCCCAGCGTCCCACAGTCCCACAGCCATGGCCACTTCGAAATCCTCATCCTTCTAACCACAACAGCAGCAAAAATGTATCCTTTGTCTCGCCTTTTGCTTTTACTTATCCTTTCGCCTTTTTCCTTTCTTTATTTTCTTTTTTCCGCGGTTTTCTCGCCTTTTGCCTTGTCATGCCACTCCCCCTCTCTCCCCTTGTGCGTCGCTGCCTCTGTCTCAGTTTCTCCGTCTGTCTGGCTGGCTGGCTGCGCCGCATGTGACATTAATTGAATAACGTAATGAATAACGTAATGAAGCACGTAAACTGTCTTAATGACAGTTGTCACAATTAATCACAGTCGTAAGAAGGTGCGAAACAAACAATTGGAAATGGCTTCAGTTATGCATGCTGTGCTCCCTCTGTGTGCGCCGTCTGCTCCGTGTGACGTAACAAACTGCACGACGTACTGGCGACACGTGACGCAACTGCAGATGACATCAAATTAAAGACGTGTTACATTTTAGATATTCATTGCTTGACGTTAGAAGAATAGAATTCAATATGTGATGGCATATTGATCCTACGCACCGATTACCTGATTACGTGATGACGTAAGAATCTGCACTGCAACAGCCTCCATACCAGCAAGTTAATTAGTTCAAAGCATTTCAAAACTTGAATGACGTAAGACACACATATACACGTAATATACATGGCGTTACGTTTTTAATAATCTAAAAAATAATAAAGTTATGAATTGTGTTACGTCAATTGGGCCAAACAACGTAACAGCTAAAGACTTGAGCAGAAATTCATGCTTAAGCTGATAAGCATCCCTTCTAGAGTAATTCACTGGCTACAGGGTATATATAAGTTGGACCTCCCACCCCCCACAGTTTTGATTGTTTTCATTGTTTTCCCTTTGTTGAATTGAGCAGGTGCTACCGTTAAGCCAGCCGCTGCGGCGCTTACGCACTTTTAATCTACATATTTATGGCTTGGCGCTGCCCTCTGACTCTTACACATAGTCTCGCGCCGTCCTTGTCTAGCAACCTTCACTAATCCGGCGACTTTTCTTTTTTTCTGGTTTTCTTACAGCTGGCAACTGCACTGCTAATTGCGAGAGTTTAGAGGCAACCCGCAACAACAACGACAACAAAGCGAAGCAGCAAGAACAGCGGCAGCAGGAGCAGAAGGTAGAAACCGAGAGCTGAGAAGAGCAAAAACAACAGCAAAACAAAGGAATAAAAGGGCGCACTAATTAATCACAGTTAGGTCTGCTACGAGCAGCGGCTACAACAACAACAAAGTGAAGACCAGCTGGAACTGAAAATAAAGGCGAGCGAAAGAGACAGACGTATAGAGCGCGAATAAACAATAAGAGCGCGCCTGACCTGTAAACGCGCGCAGCTTACAGTTATAAGCGAAGCCTAAAAGTAGAAGACAGTATTAGGTCAGCCAAGGAAAACGAGCGTATGTGTGTGAACACTTATACGTATAAGACATAAGAACTATTAACAAGTGACTTGAAGCAAAATAGCCATAAGTTTTACTTATACTTCGCCTATACGGCTGGAAGTATTCGTATAAGACGCAGGGCAGAAATAAGAGACGTATACCAATTTATACGTGCGTAAGCAGGACAGTATATGACGCATTGATTGGTCAGCTGTCAGCAATTGAATAGAACTCTCAGAATAAAATACTTAACAGAATGTTAACGCGATCGGTGTTACGTCTGCTGTTAGCAGCTATGCTGCTGTTAACGCTAGCAGCGCAATCGCTTGGCCACAGAGATTGGATGCAGAACTGCAGCAATTGCCATTGCCATTGGAACTCGGGCAAGAAGAGCGCCGACTGCAAGGGCAAGAAGCTGACAAAGATTCCGCAGGACATGAGCAACGAGATGCAGGTGGTGGACTTCTCACAGAACCAAATACCCGAGCTGCGACGCGAGGAATTCCAGGTGGCAGGCCTACAGAATTTACATAAGATCTACTTGCGCAACTGCACGATACAAGAGGTGAACCGCGACGCGTTCAAGGGACTGCCCATACTGATCGAGCTGGACTTGTCGAGCAATCACATAAAGCACCTGCACCCGAGCACATTCGAAGGGGTGGAGAAGCTGCGCATCGTCAACATCAACAACAACGAGATCGAAGTTCTCGAAAGCGGCTTGTTTGTCAATTTGCCCTTTCTGTCGCGCGTCGAGTTCAACAACAACCGCTTGAAGCAGGTGCAGCTGAATGTGTTTGGGGGTCCGCTGACCTCCATTTCGCTGGAACAGAATCAGCTGACGCACTTGAACAAGGAAACGTTCGCCAACCTGCCCAAGTTGACGTATCTCTCACTGCAGGGCAACGCATGGAACTGCAGCTGCGAGCTGCAGGAGTTCCGGGACTTTGCCATAGCCAGGCGACTCTTCACACCGCCCACCGACTGCCGGGAGCCGCCTCAGTTGCGGGGCAAGCTGTGGAGTGAAGTGCCGTCGGAGAACTTTGCCTGCCGGCCCCGCATACTCGGCTCAGTGCGCTCCTTCGTCGAGGCCAACCACGATAACATCACGCTGCCCTGCCGCATCGTCGGCACACCCCGACCCAACGTCACATGGATCTACAACAAGCGGCAACTGAACCCGAATCCCAACGACCAGCACTTGCGCATACTGAACTCGGTGGGCGAGCAGGTCAACGGAAAGCAGCCACCTGTCCAGGTGTTGACCTCAGAGCTGCGCATCTACGGCGTAAGGAACTCGGACAAGGGCGCCTACATATGCGTCGCGGACAACCGAGGAGGCAAGGCGGAGGCCGAGTTCCAGCTGCTGGTCAATGGCGACTATCTGGGAGCAGCAGCTGCCTCCGACGGCCTGGCCGGCATCAGTGGAGCCATTGGCGCCTCAACCAGCGATCCACAGACGAGCATCATCTTAGTGATCTGTGTGATAGCGACGACATTTCTCGTGCTGCTCATCTTTGCGGTGCTGATTCTGTTCTGGTACTGTCGTCGGGTGAAGACCTATCAGAAGGACAACACAATGATGAGCGGCGATGGCTTGATCTCCTGCAAGCTGGACAAGACCCACAACAGCTCGATGCTGGAAGGCTCTGTGATCATGGAGATGCAGAAGAGTCTGCTCAACGAGGTGAACCCGGTTGAGAAGCCACCGCGACGCACTGATATCGAGAGTGTCGATGGTGGAGACGACGGACACGAGATCAAGAAGACCCTGCTCGATGAAACGGCATACGGTAAGTGGGCAGGAATAAATAGTTTAAGTCAGTCAAGTGGTAAAATGAGTAGGTGGCCCCTACAAGGCGGGGGAAGGATAAAGCAAGACAAATTGAAAAATATGAATAATTTAATATCAAAGGACTAGCAGAAAGCTAAACGCTTCGAATCGCATGAGTTAGACAGAGGTAGCAAGAGAGACACTGAGCATCGTAGAGCAAAAAAAATTGCAAATGGCGTCAGATCAAAGTAGAGAATGAAAGTGAAAGTGGGAGCGAGAGAGTGCGAGGCGCAAGACAAGTGATATTGTACCAGCACAAGATGGCGCAGGAAAGGGATACACATGATGCTGAGTGAGAGTGGGAGTGGGAGCGGGAGAGCAAATTGCAAATGGCATTTGCTTTTGGGCTTTTGCTTTTGTTTTTGTCACGACAGCAAAATGAATGACGCGACGTGAGTTGCCTGTTAAACAGTATAGCTGTACCCCTTGCTCTCCCACGCCACTCGACCCCGGCGCTTTCTCTCTCTCTCTCTCTCTATCGTCTTCGCCTCCCTCTCGCTGTTGGCAATTGCACATTTGATCTATTTGTCGAATATTTCCAGTTGAGTGCAGAGCAGCTCGCTCGACAATTTGGCTTGCATTTCTTTTTATTATGCAGCAGCAGCAACAACCAACACACACACGCACACATACATATGTCTGTGTGTTCAATTCACATTTGAGATACATTTGTATCTATTACTTCCGCCGCATTTGGCAACACATTGGCCGCCAGCTCTGTACGACACAACTGCAAACAAACAAACAAACAACCCGACAACTAACAAATGCAACAGCAACAACAACAACAACAACTTTTTAGCGGATGTTTGCTTTAAAAATTTTGCAATTGGCAATTGAAATGCAATTGACAAACGCAAAAGCCAAATTGAATGCAATTGATACACTGCCCAAAAAAGTTGTAGTACTTGTGTTGCCTCGTTGCTGTAGTTGTTGTTGTTGTTGTTTGTGCATAAGCCAAACAGCAATGAAAGCAATTCGCTTAGCTATTGCCGGCAACTGGTGCCAAATGTGCTGAAAGAGTAAGGGAAAAATACATGACATATGCAAATGCGAATGGAGCGGATAATATAAAGGATATAGTATACATATATGAGAGATGATAGGTATTACATTTTAGCGAAAATGGAACATGGAACTATGTCATTCGTATGGCTCAACTACAATAAGTCGATTTTAGGGATCATTCCAAAGGTAGGAAAAAAGTAAGGCTCTTCCCTTCCATGACTATATTAAGCACTAACTCTTTATAGGTATTCCCCACCCAATAAATTATTTAAGAAACTTTTAATTGTTTTTTGTTTTCCAAAGCATTTGAAAACCCTGTGAACGGTTGTACCCAGCAGGTGCTTGATTAAAGCGTATCGTATTCAATGACCATAATTAGATTTTGGCCTAGTTCAGGCATATTTATTAATGTATATGTATCGACAATTTTCATAGCTTTCATTAGCTGAATATAAGAATTGAGAAATTTTTATTTTCAGAATTGAATCATATTTAGAGGTCGACAACAAAGTAGAGCAAGCAAAGACAGCAAAAACCAAAAGGTATCTAAAAAGCATGAATATACCAAAAATTCATTTAGTTTTTCATTTAGTTGTTTAGTTGCTGTGGGCTTAGAACTCCAACCAATAGAAGACTTTCAAGCACCCTAGATTTTTTATTTGTATATTATTTGATAATAATATTGGATATCCAAATGATTTGAATATGCGAGCAGAAAGAGAGATAGAGAAGTAAGAGAAAATGAGAGAGGAAGTGAAGAAAAGATAGACAAACTGAGGAAAGAGGCGATGAATATGGATAGTGAAACAGAATGTAGTGAAAGAGCAAAATAGAAAGAGAAGTAGGTGGGAAGAAAGAGAAAGACATAGCGGACCAGTGAGATGTCATTGAAGTTTGTTTTGTTGCTCAATTGAAAAATGAATTAAACATATAGATATAGATAAATAGATATCTGAATCAATATAACGGTAAACGCAGAAAGAAGAAAGAAATATTGAAATATCGATAAATATTATGAATATAAAGGTAAACAAAGGGAAAGCTATGAGAAAGGATAGTTCAATAAGTTCCATAAAATCAACAAGAAAACAAGATTAAAATGTTTTTAAAAGCACTCAACTCTATAATGATTTACAAATAAATGTATAGTCGTAAGTTGTCAAACTCCCCTCCTAATGATTGTCCTTTAGCTAAGACTTAGAATTACGGAATTTCCTTCCAATTGATTCGCCAATCTAATCTAATGCGCTCTTCTCTTCTCGATCTCTCCCCTCGCTCCCGGCCGTCGTAGCCAATCACACACGCGATGACGAAACGCACTCGGTGGCGCTGTCAGACACGACGACCACGCCCCGTTCGCGACACGCCTACGTGGACGATGCGTACGGTAATAGCTTGCCACCGGACCTGCTGGCCTTTCCGGCCCGTGTGCCACCCACCTCGCCCTCGATGCAGTCCTCGCAGTCGAACATACCCGATCAGGTGATCTACGGCATACGCTCCCCACCGCCACCGCTGACCAGTCCCGTCTACGCGCACATGACGCCCCACGGCATCTACGGCACCACCACCACCACGATGGCGGCCCACAACGGCTTCATGACTCTGCAGCACCCCAAGTCTCGCAATCTCGCACTCATCGCCACCGCCAACAGTCGCCACCAGCAGCAGCAGCAGCAACACCTGGCCGCGGCACTGCACCATCAGCCATCCGGCTCCTCCTCCGCCTCGCCCTTCTTGCCAGCGCCCGTTGTCTACTCGCCGGCCTCCAGTGCCGTCGTGATGAAGCAGGGCTACATGACCATTCCACGCAAGCCGCGCGTGCCCAGCTGGGCGCCGAGCACATCCAATGCGGCTGCCGCAGCGGCTGCTGCTGCCGCTGCCGCCGCTCAGCACCAGCTCGGCGAGTTCCAGTCGCCCACTTCGCCGAATCCCAGCGAAACGGGCACGGCGACCACTGTGGAGCTGCAAGCGGAACCGGTCTACGATAATCTGGGACTGCGCACAACGGCGGGCGGCAATTCGACATTGAATTTGCACAAGGCACAGGGTGGCGGCGGGTCACAGGGTGCTCAGCAGCAGCAGCAACAGCAACAGTATACAATGCGCGATCGGCCATTGCCAGCCACGCCCAGCTTGACATCGGTGGCCTCGGCCACAGCCAGCAAGATTTACGAGCCCATACACGAGCTAATACAACAGCAAGCACAGCAGCAGCAAGCACAACAACAACAGCAACAACAGCAACAGCAGCAACAGCAACAGCACTTATACAATTCGGATACGGAACCGTTATATGGCGGACGTCATTACGGTATTACGATATTGCCCGGCTCGAGCATTAGCGGCGCTGGCTTGAATTCGCCTGGTGCTGCTGCGGCAGCTGCGCCAATGGCTATGGGAGCGCAGGGGACGCCCGGGGGCGATTCGCCAAAAATGGCAAAGATACCGCCCAGGCCGCCGCCAAAGCCCAAGAAGAAAATGTCCGTCACGGCGACGCGCAGCGGCCAGGGCAGCACAAGTCAGCTGTTCGATGACGAGGGCGAAGACGGCACCGAGGTTTAATTTGGCATAAATGAACACACAGACAGATGCCCCAACACCCTCCCCCTCCCCTTTTAACACTCTCTCTCACTCTCTACCCCTGCCCCTCAACTAGAAAGCGAATTCATTTGAAATTGCCTTTAGCCCCAGCAAATTGTAAAGATGATCTTAAAATGGCCGAGAGAGAGAATTAAACAAAATGGCCGACAGCAGAGCTTCACTCTTAACAGCGACAGCTGCTCATTCTGCACTGCTAAGACAGCATAACTCCACTCTTAACAGCGATAGCTGCTCAATCTGCACTGCTAAGACAGCAGAGCTTTACTCTTAGCAGCGAAAGCACTGTTAGAGCCACAATTGCAACAGCAGCTGCGCAGCAGGAGAGCCAGACAGCAGCGGGTTGTCCTGCTCTGCCTGCTTGCTTATTACACACACACTCTCTCCTTCTCTGATCCACAGCGTGTGGATCTGTCTATCGCACGTGCCGCTAAGCGCGTGCCTTGTGTGCCAAACCGACTGATGTAGAATTTAGTAATTAAAGCGAGAAACGATACGAAACACAACACACACACAAACGCAACAGCAAATCAAAGAAGACGAACATGTGCAGCGCCAGCAGCAGAAGCAGCGACGCCAGCAGCAGCACCGACGCCTGCAGCAGTGGCAGCGACAGCAACAGCTGATATGCCCCACAGGGTGAACCAGGCAAATAGATATTGAACAAAAAGGACAGTACGTAAAAAAGTAAATAAAAAGAAAAAAACAACAAAAACAAGAATACAAAAATAAAAACAAATTAAAATACATATTAGCACAAGAGTATGTAAAAATCCCATTTTAATAATACATTAACATGAACCTTCGAAAAATTCTCTCTAAAACAAAAACTTTTTTTTTTGCTAGGCTAAAAACATATATATATATAATTATAAATATATATATATACGAAAAACATTTACTTAAAGCTAAGCAAAACTATATATAAAAATTATATATAACAAAAATAAATTTTAAATTAAAAGAAAAAAAAAAAAACAATTTAGAAATTTTATAAAATTGTAAATCTTAAAATATATATAAAAAATATATATGTATGTAGCATAAAGAGGAATTTTTTTTAAAGATTTTTTTTTTATTAAAAATCAAGTAAAAAAAAGTAATTTTAGATGAAATTAGTGTTAAAAGCTCTATGTAATAAATGTATAATTCACTAATTTTGCAATCGCAACTAAAAGAAAAAGAAAATTTAAAAAATAATAAAAGATGTATGAGATATATACGTATAAATGTATATCTAAATATATATATATAGGAATTATTAATCAAGAAAAATCAAGAGAAAAAACACAATTTAAATGTTAATCAAGATCGAATAAATATAGAGTATATATATATATATAAGTATATATATACGTATGTCAAAATACCACGTTACACAACACTACTATAGCGCTGTACAACACTGCAACAGTATAACTACAAATAATATATAAAAACAATTTCAATATATGCGCAAATTGTCAAATGTAAAAGTTTAAAAAGAGAAACAAAAAAGAAAACAAGAAATTGAAAGAAAAATAAATAGTTAAAAATAATATTCATAGCTAAACGTAGTTAAGAGCTGGCACGAAACACCCTGTGCTTGTGCGCCTTCCCCCTCTTCCCTCATCATCTTTCACATTGCTATAACATTGGTGCATTTTGTTTAAACATTAAGTTTAATATTGGGTTAACATGTACCTTAACATTTCTACCACTTGGTGTAGAGTTTCTCTTAACAGAGTTTCTCTTTTACATTTACTTGAACACGATCTTAACATGCATTTCACTCTGTTTTAGCATGCTGTAACGATGTCTCCACATGGCAATAACATGCGCACTGAGAATGCTGCTAGCATTAACTTAACATGTTCTTATAACATTCTGTTAGCATGCATTAAACGTTCAACCTTTTTTATGCAATTACTTAAAAATATTTTAGCATTTGCTGCGTTTTTTCTCTAATTTTTTAAAAATATTTTATTTTTAAGAATTATTTTTGAGACACACTTTTACTGCAACTCAGTTAATTTCGATCCTATATATACCTATCTAATATTACATATATATATAAATATTTATATACTTTTTTTATTATTATTATTTTTTTTTTTTTAAATTAAAAATAAGTGTCACTAAAAAGTTTAACTAAAAAAATTGCAATTTAAACTAACTATTTTTAGTGCATTTCATTTTGTTGGCCAACTGCTTGCCACGCCCACACGCCGGTTAGGCGTAAAGAGAAAATTAATTTAATAAACCAAGTATTAAATATTTTATAAACAATTTTTATATATATTAATTTAAATTTTAAATTTATTACACTTAATTTTTTTTTTTTTGAAAGGATCTCGAAAAATGTTAAAAATAATATAATAATACATATATATGTATATATGTATACGTATACATATGTATTGATTCCTTTGCCAGCATTAAAAACAAAAAACACAAAGCAAAAGTTTAGCACAGAAATCAAAAAACCAGAAATATATAAAATTTTAACTCAAGCAAAAAGAAAATAGAAGTAAAATAAAAAAATTTAAAATAAGTTAAGCTGTCAGCAAATAACGAACGATTAAGCATAAGAAAAAAGATAAAGAGAGAATGGAAATCGAAGCAGACGAGGAACAGATTAAGAAGAGGACAAGCAGAAAGGAAATATTAAAAATAAGTTTCATATATAATTTTTGCATTGTTTTTTCCTAACACATACAAATATTTACAATTAAAATTAAAAATATAATTATAAATAAAAAGACGAATTAAAAAATAAAAAGGAAATATTTTATTTATTTACTGGGCAAACTTTGTATTTCAGCGATCAAACAACTATTTGGAGAGTTGACTGCGCTATACACCCTGTGTACAGGGTGCTCTACAATGCTGATGCGATGTAGATATGTATGTGTGTCTTTGCACAAAGAGAGAAATATATACATATATATTCATTTAATACATCGTAACTCGGCTATAGATACCCAGGACACACACACTAATATGTGCAATAAGCACACACACACACACTCATACACAGATGTCCGCATACACATATGAGCGCATAATTATGAAATGATGCAAGTTTTATTCAAAACTTGCGCCCAAAATAGGCGAGCCGAACGAAAAGGCTACAAAATATGCTAAATGCGCACGTTGTCGTCTCTCATTCTCTCTCTTTCTCGCCATCCTTCTCTTTCTTGGCACAGTGTCTACACAGTGCTGTGGTTTTATCCTAACCCAAATTCAGCATGCTTAACAGCTTAACACCTGTTAGCGTAACAGCTCTTGCATGTCCTATGCTAACATTGCTGTTACGCATCTGTAAGCGCTAATAGAATGTTAAACCGAAATAAACATACATTTCCGATATTTCATATTCCAAATTTGTAGCAGCGCAATCTTGGCATTTGTCCCACTGTGCCAATCGCCAAGGGCTCGCTGGGCGAATCGAGTGTTGCCTACTTTTGCGGGCGCTGCGCAAATTATTAAAGTTAGGTAAGAAGAAGAAGCTGCTGCACCAGCAGTGGCAGCAGTGGCAGCAGCAGCAAAACTTTTGGCTGAAAACCAAAAATTGTTGCTGCCAACTTTATTGAAAATGCTTCTCGCAAAACTTGAGCTAAACAAAAAACTTTTTACCAATACGCTTGTCAAGAGTATTATGACTCGTTATGACCATGTTGTCCAGACCCGCCCACCAGCCCGTCTCAGCGCCCCCCTCCTACCCTGCTCAGCCGCCAAACTTGCTTGCTCTCTAATTGCACGATGCTGAGAGCTGCCACAGCTGCAGGCACTTAGATCGGCCGCAATGGGGAGAACTAGAAGCTGGAAGCTATTTAAAAGTCAATCTATGCTAAGTTAATGTTAAGTATGCTATGCTAAGTCGCCGTTAAGTAATATCTGGAGCCAGAAAACAAAATCGAAATAAGCTCGGATGGAAATGCAAATGCATTAGCAAGACGTATGTTAAGTCACTGTTAAAACTTGAGGCAAATCCGATCTAAAAGTAAAACTTTTTAAGGCTGTTAGCGATATATGTAATGTTTATGACAATCTTAACAGAGCCCCTGCCCATTGTAAAACACAAAAATTGAGCCATGCTAAAGCTATTTTAAAGTCAGATTAGGTCTATCATAGTGATATTTAAAAGCAGCTCCAAGTAAGTCGGAGAGCTCAACGTGTTTCTGGTATTAAATCAACTAGAAATTGAGCCACGAACTTTTCTATGCTTCATTCAAGTCAAGTTTACAATTTGCATTCTAAAATTGATTGAACGCCAAAGATTGATTTGTTGTCGAGCAGTTGGCAAGTGTAGGGTATCATCGAGTGGGCGGGAGCTGGGAGCTGGGAGCCGGCTGCAGGCGGGGGTAGTTGCAGGGTATTGGCCAATCAATTTGATACACGAATAATCTCGACACTTGGAAAACTACTTTGGATCAAGTCAGCCAAAAACTTTTAATAGCTGCAAACCTCCCTGCGACGAGCCCTCGTCCCGCCTCCTTCGGTGCCTGTTTGCCCTCCTTGGACGTGTTTAATCAACTTTGAGAGTTTAATGGCCAACAGCTATTAGTTTGACTCCCCTCCCTCCATCCCACCGTCCCTCCATCACCCTCTCCCTCGCCCTATCTCTCTCTCTCTCTCTCTCTCTCTCTCTTTCTGTGTCGGCCTCTCTGTCTCACTCGCCCATTCGATATGCCTCATTAGATGCAACTTAAAGGACAAAATGTAAAACTTATATTGAAATCAAGTTTTCGACAAGCTTTTTACACACAGCAACATGTTAACGTTAACCTACAACCTACGTGCGTGTGCGTGTGCGTGTGCGTGTGTATGCGTGTACATGTGTGGCTCTGGGTGTGCGTGCAGAGAGAGGTCGCACGGCCAGCAGCAGGCGGCGTCGCTTTTGACAACATGTTGCCCCCGAAAAGTTTTACGAGAAATTCGCCTTAAAGACGCATAAAAAACTTTAAATGCAACAGCAGCGCAACAAACCAAAGAGTCTGCTCGACTAGCAGATACTCTACTTAGCTAAACAGCTGTGAAGCTGTTCGCTTCGCACAATTGGGAAAAATGGGTAAACGATTTATAATCGTTTTATAATTTGTAAATGGAAAAGAAAGATGTAGAATAAACAAATGGATAAGGGATCAACGAAAAGACAAAGGAAAACAGAAGAAAGAATTCCATAGATTGGCAAAAACTTGTAGAGGCAACGAGAGGTAGAGATAGAGAAAGAGAGAGAGAGAGACAGACAGAGGCTGAAACATAGGAATAAACAATTGGATAATCACATATAGTACATGTGGTTAAGCTTCTTAAGGGATAGACTAACGGATTGTCTGATAATCAGGCGGACAGCTAGAAACAAGACAAACGGATAAGCTGATAAGCGAGTAAACACATACATACATACTACAGATGGATAAATAGATAAGCAGTGATAAGTGAAAGAGCAGATGAAGGTATATGTGCATGATATAAAATAGATATGGATATAACAACGAATAGACTATGCGATAGGCAAACGACAATTGGATAGATGGACAGCCCGAAATGGAGAAAAGGTTGATAAAGCGATAAAGATATAAATATCAATCAATAATCGACAGATAGCCAGATATAAGTATGAGCGAACGAGCAAAAATAAAAACAAGACAGATCTGCGAATATCGATGGGTACTAGGTAAGGCATACGCCCCATAGATACTGTGCTGGTAAGCTCAAAAGTAGAACTCAAAAATAACGAAGACGA